TGAGAAGAATGAAAAAGATACAAAAACAAGAGGGACATAAAAAAAACAGCCCTGCAAGAGGGAATCCCTAAAGAAAAGGGGTTTGATGCCTAACTTATAATTACAAAAGGCCTTAGTGACCGATCCCCATAAATAAGCTTTTCATTTTGTACATCTCTCTCTTTTCATTTCATTACATTAAAGAAATTGTTTCTCTTCCAAAAAAAAACTTTGAACTATGAGAATGTTGTGCAACCTATTTAAATAGATTCATTCTGATTCAATGAAAGTTGTTCTTTTATGTTTTTGTTGTTTTTTTGGCTCCTGGGGATTTCCTTTTTTTTGTATTTCCCTCATGTATTTTTTCCATTATTTCTCAATGAAAGATGTTATTCTCATAAAAAAATAGATTCATTCAATCTAATACAATTATTTTTGTGGCATCATGAGGGTGCCATATGGTATTTTCTTTTTTGACTAAGGAGCTTTTCTCTTACCTCTGAGGGCCATTCTTTGTTCTCTAATGACGATGGTTTTCCCTTGGGTGCAGCTAAGAGAGATACGGGACCATGTGAATGCTATAGAAGTGTCACATGCGTAAATATGGTAGTCTTAAAAAGACCATTATTGGTGATTAAAATAATTTGCAAAGATAGAAGTATTATAATGTAGATGGCTAGATGCAAGTATAGGGTCAAAGTTGCAACTAACCTTTGAAGTCTATGCGTTTTATTTGCATGGTTTCTCTAAATATATAATAAAGCCTCTGAGGGCTGTATCTTTCATGCCCTTTTGAATTCTTTCTTAACGAAACTTCTGTTTCTCATAAGAAAATAGAAAGATAGCAGGCCCGTAAGAAATACCCTCCAAACCAGCCTTCACTATACTGCTAAAGTATGACTTCCACCTCTAGAGCAGGTGGTTTGACCTACCACGTTGCTAAATGTCTAAAAGCATTAGATCATTGCCTAACATGTTCAAGGATCTTTTCCCTTCACCTGGACATCTCTAAGTAATTCTTTGAGAATGTAATATGTCTTAATTACTAGAAAGTAAGACTGCTTGTAAAAGAATTGATCTTATCGTAACCTGTTGGAGCACCGAGCATAACATTTTGTTGTGCAAAAGAATTATAACTCGAGATTTAATCACGTCCCTTACTATCCTTGGCCACTGATGAGGAACCAGTATGCGGACCACTTTTCTTAATTGTATCATTTTTTTCCCTTCATTTCCCTTTTTACTGAAAATGTTATTTCAAGTCCACTTTTCATCTATTTGTCTTTGACAGGTAATAGATGCATGTGGAAAGGGGAATTTGGGGCGTTTCATTAACCACAGTTGTGATCCAAATTGTCGCACAGAGAAGGTTAATATCCTATTCGTTAAAATATCGTAGCATAATGTTATATTTTTCTTGATGTGGTGATGTAAATAACTTTTGTGGTATTTTACACACAATATTGCATGATCCAGTTGGATTGTAGCCTGTAATTTATAATCCCCTTACCAGCATTCTTCCCACCACTCCCATTAAAGGGGTTCAGAATACCTTAGTTAACTAGGACCAGAAGCACTGGAGGAGACTGTTTTAGACCTGGAGCTTAGCCTTTAATGCAGTGCAGGACTAATTAGTGGTTTATTTAAATGTCATGCCCTCGAAAGCATAATTTATCAGTATCAATGTCATTATGTAAAGAAGAAAATGATAAATATTTATTTTTAAGATTAGAAATGGTTGAATTGATAGTCAAACCATGGTGGTCACCTGCCTAGAATTTAATATCCTACGAGTTACCTTCGCAACCAAATGTAGTAGGGTCAGGCTGTTGTCTCATGAGATTAGTCTAGGTGCGTGCAAGCTAGTTTGGATACTCACAAATATGGCATTGGAGATTTATACTTCCCAAAAATTTCTTGTCATTATCGGTTGTGCTAGCAACTTAAACTTTTAAGTTTCGGAGTTGTTAGATAATTTACTATTTTGTTGTTTTGTTGTTTTGTTGCTCTTTTTAAGTTCTTATTACTTGGTTTTGGAACAGTGGATGGTGAATGGAGAAATTTGCATTGGGCTCTTTGCACTAAGGGATATTAAGAAGGTAAATTTATTGCTTGCCTTTATTACCTTCATTTTCTTTTTTATTTTTTTACTGAACCATTAAAACAGAATATCCATGGGTTATGATTCGGAGAACTTATGGTTGAAAGGAATTATGGAATTTTTAATGAAAAGAGTAGAGATTTGGTGGTGGTTGCTCTGATAAAACTGCATTCATTGTTTCTTTTTTGTGTTATATTTCAAATTCTTTTGTCATTATTCTGAACCTTCAGTAATGCTAATTGGAGTGTGTTTTTGTAAGCTGTAGGGTTGGAATTTTGGTACCTCTTCCGTGACACTTATTTGAAAAATAAATAACTTTGACTCAATGGTAGAGAATAATTCTGGAACGAGTCTGTTTAGTGCTCATGGATTGCAATTTTGGGTGGTTTATTTATTTCTCATTTTTCTTCTGTTGGGTTATCAATTCCTGCAGTACATAATATGATGATTGCAAATTTTTTTTGGCAGTCGGCACTCGCTTGTTATAAATTATATGCTCCTTTCCACAGCGTTTCAGTGTTATTTGTGCCACTTGGAAGAGGGTTTTGTGTGTGTGTGTGTGAGAGAGAGAGAGAGAGAGAGATAATAGAAAGTAAGTCGAGCAGTAATCAATTAGTTTTGTTGACATTATTCACAGAAGCAGGATCATTCAATTTCAGTATGGATGGATGAAACTGAACAGCCTTGACATTTGCATTCATTAACTTAGACTGTAAAATCTATTTTCTTTAAAACTATCCTTTCCTCGAATGCTTTGGCCAATTTTCTTGGTTGATTCAGGCATCTCCTGCATTTACTGTTCATAGCTTGATCTGTGATGCTCTTTCTGGTTAGCATCTGCTTTATTTTCTTTCCTCTTCTTCCTTTTTTTTTTCTCTTCCTTTTTCTGGGTAAGCGGAGTTCGATAAAAAATAAATAGTGTTCAAGAATAGACATCACTTATTCAAGACAATGATTGGTAATTTTCTTTTATCAGAACAATAATTACAAATTAGGGAGTACTTATTCATATTTCACATGTATGTAGGTAGCCAACAATTCTTGATGGATGTGTCTGATATATTTGGAGGCCAAACGTTTTCTTTTTATGTCAATGTTGTTAATTAATAATTCCTGATAAACTTCATGTTTGAGTGCCTTACATTGCGTTGCAAGAAACTGTATCCTTTCTACTTCTTTCCTGTTTCAGGGTGAAGAGGTGACATTTGACTACAATTATGTAAGGGTATTTGGGGCCGCTGCCAAAAAATGTTATTGTGGTTCTTCCCAATGTCGAGGTTATATAGGTGGAGATCCCCTCAATTCTGAAGTCATTATTCAGAGTGATTCAGACGAAGAATTTCCAGAACCAGTAATGCTTCGTGCATATGGCAGAAGTTTGAATAATAACTTGCCAACTGTAGTTCGTTCATCAGATGGTGCTGAAACGCAACCCTCAGAGAGTATGACAGCGGTTAAGGATAAGATCGATCAGCCTAGTAGTATTGCTATCATCGAACCGAAGATTTCAGAAGAAAAAGAAGATCCTCCTAGCCTTTCTGCCTCTACTGTTTCACCATTGCATAGTTCATTGGAATTTGAAGACTCGAAGGTTGTATCACCTGCTACACTTTTGCCAGAAACTACCCAACATACTGAAGATGTGACAAGCAAAGCCGTGTTTGTTGATCAGACAGAAATATCTCCTGTAGGCAATACTTCTAACAAGAACACATGCTCTATTGAGTCGGTGGCAAAGTCGCTATTTGATGACATTGATGCTCGTAAGAAGTCCAAGCTGGATGCAGGTGAAGATAAGCAAGTACATTTAAAGCCATATCCTTGCATGAAAACTTCACGAAAACCAGGTTCCATTAAGAAAGGAAAAGTTAGCTCTGTAGAAAAAGTTCAAATGACTAACAAGCCCCAGATTTCGTCTTTCAAGCCAAAACGATTGATTGAAGGTTCTCCTAGCAACCGCTTTGAAGCAGGTTAGTCATGTTTGGAATACTAGCTTTAGTTTGAATAGCTGTGATGGGTTTATTAATGGTTAATGGTATTTGATGCTTCAGTCGAGGAGAAGCTTAATGAACTCCTGGATGCTGAAGGGGGAATAAGCAAAAGAAAAGTGAGTCATTATGACTTCCCATACGTTGGTTTGTTGAATTTCTGCTATTCTATTAGTTTTATCCGGTGGAAATGAATGATTATTTTATTTGGGTTCTTTTATGATTTATCATCAGCTTATACTTCCATGAAGTTTTCTTTTTCTTCTAAGCTGGAGTTCAAGTAATATATCTTCAGAATAGACTGACAACTTGTAACACTTGTAGCATATCTTCTCTTTCTATTTTTTTTCCCTCGAAACAATGCATATATTCTCTTTCTAGAAATTCAAGATTTACAAACGATTGTGAAATCTTCTGTTAACTGTCCTGCTTTTAATATGTGTAGTTATCGTTGGAAGGGCTATGAATTTTGTCTTCTTGTACTTACTTATTTGAAAATTTATTATCATTGTTTACAGTTTAATGTTCCTTTTGGCATCATTTTGGTATAAAGAGGCATTGGAGCCTGGAGGATCTAAGGTTTTTAGAGATTCCTATAGACTTTGGGGTATCATTCTCCAAGTCGATATTATAGAACTCTGATGGATGGGGTTCTCCTAGCCTACAATCCAACAGTAGCATAGTATAGAAGAAATTGCTGGCTAGTCTCTTTGCTTTATGCTGAAGGATTTGGTTGGAGAGGAACTTAAGCGTGTTTCAAAAGAGGGAGAGGTCTTGGGGGTGGTTTGAGCATGATTCACTTCAATGTCCCCACTAGGTGGCATCCTCTTCTAGATTAGTGTTTTGTCCCTCTGTTTTTTAACAAGAAACAAACCTATCAATAAAAGTACAAGATGCGAATGATGGATGAAAAGATAGAAAAAATGTACAAGGATATAAACTTCAAAATAGAAAAAATGTACAAAAATAGAAAAAATGTACAAGGATACAAACTTCAAAAGAGAGGGAAAAGAGAAATAAACCATAAAAGAACAAAAAATAGATATCCAAATATTACAATAGCCAAAATATCGCATTGAAGAATACCAAGGAGAGATTTAGCATCTCTGAGAAGAAAAACTTGAGAAACCAATGAGCCAAGGCAACAAGGCTACTCCCACCGAGCTTCAAAACTGCATCATGCTTCAGCCCAAAAGAAAGATAACTGGAAAACTTTGAAAAAGGCCAAAACTCAATGAATATGCCCCAAAACTTTAAACAAAATCTCTCAAATAGAAGGCAACCACCAAAACTGGATAAAAGACCTCCTTTACAAAAAAGGTCATTGACTATCCAACCGCAGGCTCCTCATGCACCTCAACCTTATTGATGGCTCAACCAGAAGCTCTTCAAGCAGACTACCATATTCACGACTCAACCAAACACACTTCCCAGTTCCCTGTCTATCAATCACATTTCTTCATCAATCCTTGTGATCTGAGGATACCCTGCAAAATTTCTCGGAGAAGGAGAAATGGTGACAAACTTGCGTAAATCATAACAACCTTATTGAGCCATTGGATGTCGATTGATGCTTTAGGGCTTAGTTTCAAATAAAGAAATTCCTACTTCCTCCATATATTTCAATAGAGCCACATTCTTAGATTTGATGGTAGGATTATTGAACTCAACCTTTTTCAAGTTTTTTTTTTATACATCAACCTTTTTCAAGTTGACCTTTCATAATCCAATTTCGGAACTAGGACCGATAGATTCAATTGAAGACCTAAATCGGCTATTGGGGTTGGGCCTCTTCATTTCATTCTTTCGTGTTTTTTTCATGGCCCGAATATTGGTTTGGCTCTGTTTATATAGGCTAATTTTTGTACTTTTGTTTCTGTTGATAAAAGATGTCTTTTTTACCCAAAGAAGAAAGAAGGGGATTTACATTTTTCATGCAGAGATATATGCATAGTGTTGGAGTATTCATAAGTTTCTTCCCTCCCTCTACCAGGATGCCCCTAAAGGCTACTTAAAGCTTCTGCTCCTGACTGCTGCATCAGGTGCAAGTGGTAGTGGTGAAGCAATTCAGAGGTTGCCTTTGACTATTCTTTTCTTTAATCTGAATTATGAATTTAACCTGCCTTTGTAGTCATTTGAACTCATGTATGTTATGCATTTGAAAATTAGTACTTTAAGTGATTTTTCCTGTTTTGACAGCAATAGAGATCTTTCAATGATCCTTGATGCTCTTTTGAAGACAAAATCACGAGTAGTATTGACCGACATAATAAACAAAAATGGTAGAGTTTTGCACTTCTTTTTTGTCGCGTCTGTGTATTTTCTGTGATCTTCTTATCGTGCCATTTGGTTTATGGAATTCCACAAACTGTTTTTCCCCCTTCTTTTTCCTCCCAGGTTTGCGGATGCTGCATAATATAATGAAGCAATACAGAAGTGACTTCAAAAAGATCCCTATTCTTCGGAAGCTTCTGAAGGTAGTACTCTCTATGGCAATTGGCAATTGTGATATTTCTTTTCTGAGTTTGGCAAGAAACCTCCCAGTTCATCATTTTTATATGTCTAATTTTTTTTCGTCTTCATAATTTGGCTAATTAACGGTCACATTTTAGATATTTGTTTAAGTGCTCCTCTGATCAGAGACAGTATATTCAAAAGAGAGGCCACATAAGAAACAAACTAAGGCTGGGTAGAGGAAATCCCCGCATAAGAAGATAACAATAATAGCCTTCCAATAGTTGACTCTCATGAAAATTATAATTTCAAATGTGGTTCAGGTTTGAATCTCAGACATATGTTTTTTTTTTATGGTTTATGAGAAACAAATATTTAGGCCTTTTTCACTCCCTTAAATGTTTTTTTTACAACTCAAGGACATAGAACAAATCCTATTCAAGTAAGGTCGTCTCTTGAAATATTTTTATTTTCATATATCAATGAAAAATTTGTTTCTTATTAAAAAACAAATAATAAAATAATCAAGCTGGTGTTGGCATAGTGGTAAGATGATTGGTTTTTAATATACGTGACCCAAGTTCGAGTCCTTGTGTGCCTCAAAATAAAATAATCAAGCTCTTCTGCAGGTACTAGAATACTTGGTAGCAAGAGAGATACTCACTTCTGAACATATTAATGGAGGTCCTCCTTGCCCCGGAATGGAAAGGTTAGAGATTGTGATGCTTTATTCCAAACAGCCACTCCTAAACATTATGAAGATAGTGTTGAACTATGGGGTAGTTTAAATTTGTATATGCTGATAAAGTTTCCACCAATTTCTTCTTGATGGGTGTCTTACACATTCTAAAAATGATTTATTCTTTTTTTTCTTTTGAAGTTTTGCAACTTTTTTATGACCAATATATGAAATATTCATTGATAAAGGAAAATAAACAAAAAATTTTTGAGGGTACGAACTCTCGAGGGAGTGTGAGACTTTAAA